AAACAACATATGAAAACAATAACCTTATAATATCATGAAATCATACACACTTTATAACATAACATATATCACACATTTACATTTCAATTATCAGGAAACAGATTCCCTCTTTTACCAGCCTACTAGTATCCCTGGGGATCCATAGGGGGTCCCCTCTACACGTGAACCATTAACATTTACGATCTAATTCCAGGGCCGTCCCCATACCCCGTCCGGTATGGGTGCCAAAACACATAAGGTCTCCATACTCCGTCCAGTATGAGAGACCACGTTCCCGGTAGGGTTTCCTATGGACCCGGTCCGTCCACCATCTCCCAAGATATCTAGTCAGACTGTCCACATTATCCACTTATCAATTCACATAACTTTTTTGTCTTTTTCCTTAATATCAATTATTCAATCATACAAAATATATAAATCAGTAATTGACACCAAATAAGATAATACAGTACCGGGTTCACCATAATACAAACCATAATAAAAGAAACATAGTTCATGCATACGAGAGCATAACATAATTACATCAAATATCATGCTGCATTTAATACTGAAAATTAGATCAAACAATAACAGACCAACACTGTATCAGACTCGGGCTCCATTGGCAACCTTAATCAATTAAACATCTATAAAGTCACTCGATACAGTTTAATTATTTATTTAGCTTTAATACCGTGATAGGAAATAGGGTGAGGGGTCCTTACCTGTTTTGGGGTCTGAATTCGACTCTACAGTGCGCCTACAGGCTGTCCCTAATTTTCCTGAATTTTTTTCAGAAAACTGAAATGCACTACCGGTACCTGCACGTGTCCCAAAAAATTCCAAATCAGACCTAGGGCCTTTCGGCCAATATTGCAATTCCGGCACGGCGGCGATCCGCCTTGAGTTGGCCGTTTTCGGTCGAATTTGGTCACACTTGTATCGATTCCTGTGATAAAACAACTCTAGGGCCCTCGGTGGGCTAAAAAAGCACGAAAAGCCGATACTTACCTGCGACGGTGCTCTCGGGTGCGGCGGCTCCTCCGGCGTGAGTCGCGTTTTGATGTTTGGCTCCGATCAACCTGTAGAGAAAAGAACGGTGATCACAGTGGTATAAAATTTGCATCGAACTGAGGAGGGGTGCAGCGGCGCCGCTGGACTTCGACTAGGTTTTTCAGTCGTTTGGCCGGTGGTTTGGCTTCGGTTTGGCCATAGGCGGACTCAGCATCGAAAAACGAGTAAGGGAGAGAAAATTTACCTCGATCGGCGGTCGAAAACTTCCTCGGTACGGCGGCAAGTGGCGACAGCTGGCTCCTCCGGTGTCTGGTTCTTCTTCTCCGGCGAGGCACTAGCGGCTAGGGTTTTTGTGGTCAGGTGTGGGTGGGGTTATTTATACCATTTGCCTTTTAATCTCAACCGTCCATTAAGATTAAATCTGGACCGTTCGATCACGATTTAATTGGGATTAAATCTGGACCGTTCATCGCGATGCAATCTGGACCGTCCGTGTCTGATTGAATCTGGGCCGTCCGTGCGCGCGGGAACGGATCTGGGCCGTCCAATCGCGCGCACGCGGATCGCCCATGTGGCCCGTCCCCTGGTCAGCGTTTTGTTACCACGCGGCACGTTCTGGTTGGCCGGGGCCGCTGATATGGCTGCTGACGTGGTGCTGACGTGGCACAACTTTTCTAAATTGCGTTTTGACCCCCGGTTTTCGATTTTCTTTTCAAAAATACCCCCAGAATCTAAATTTTCACCCATTTTTACCAAAATCAATTTCAATTAAATCCAAATAATATTTTTACCTAATTTTATCATTATTATTTTTATTTTCATAAAATTAAATTAAATTAAATCAAATTAAATTAATTAAAAATAAAAAATTCTAATAATTACAAAATAAAAATAATAACACTTGGGTGTTACAAAATAAGTCTACTTAATTAGACCATGTATTATTAAATTTTATTCAAATTAACCTATGTAATATTTTTGCATTTATATTAGCCTCGTATTTAAAAATTGTTAAATATTTATTATAAGAATATATGTGATTGCTAATTTACACGTATAAGTAGTCATATTTTAACAATGTAGCAACTACATAGCAAAAATATAAAAAAATAATTATTGATTTAGTCTCGAAATTCAATATTTGTTACAATTTAACCCATAATATTTTTTATTATACCTAAGTTCTGAATTTTTTTTTATTTTAAATGTCTATTTTCATTTCATTTTTAACTAAAAAAATAAAATAGTTAGATCATGTTATGATGCTTTGAAAAATAACTTTTCTTAATAAATTAAATTAATAAAATAATAATAATAAAAGTATATAATAATATTATTAATTTAATAATATATCAATTTATTTAATTGGTTAAACTAATTATTTGAGCTGTTATAAGTCATGAATGAATGCTCTGAAAAAATAATTCAAATAATAACCTTTATTAATTAATTAAATTCATCATTTGGGCTACTTTTTTAAAGCATTCAAATATGGTCAAAATATTTTACCTTTTTTTTATTAGAAAAGTGAATGAAACTAAATATTTGAAACAAAGAAAAAAAGTTATGAAACCAAATTATAATGAAAAAAAAAAGTAAAAACTAAATTGTAACAAGTGCTAAATTTTTAAAAACTAATTTAGTAATTTATTCAAAAATAAAACACAAAAACCTTATACACTTTTTCTCTTTATATCTTCTTACTTCCCTCTCCCTCTTGTTTGTTTCGTCTATTTTTCTATGAAGATAAATTTTATGGTATTTTGGTGGTTAAACGAAGTATTTTTAGTGTAGATAATAAAATTATTAAACAATTAATAAAATAAAATAATTATAAGCATTATCGAGTTACATATTATTTTAAAATATTGAATTAATAAAAAAAATAAATCAAAAACAAACTTAGAAATAAGCAGATATTGATTAGTGACAAAACCAAATACGAACATATAGTGAAATATAAAATGTCTTATGTCTAAGAACAACCAAAATCCACCATAGTAGAGAGTAAACCTATCTTAATTATACATTAGATAATAAACTAGTAAGACCAACATAAATATTTTTTTTTATAATTACTCTAATATTATTTTAAATAATAGTGAAATTTGACTCCCACGTAAAAAATAGAGAATTGTGAAGTTCAAAATTATGATGAAATACGATCACATGTAACAAACATTTTATTTTAGTATTATCTAATTATTTTTCTCACTGTTTTTTGAACATTAAAATTAAAAAAACTAATAAAAAATTTTATGTTTTAGGAAAAGATTAAGGAAAAAAACCGGGGTCAGACCGAGCCCGGTCCAACTTACCTGTTTTTTTCAAGATGTCGGTTTGTCCGGCCCAACTGCTAAAGGTGACGGGCTTGAACCGGCCGTTTTGACTCGGTTGAAAGCTGCAGAAAAAAATTTGAAGACAATTTTTACAAAATTAGAATAAAAGAACAGAAACACAAGCTGAGCCGGGACTTGGTCTTCCTTAAATCCTTCAACCTTATTTTCTGTCTTCGGCGGCACAAACTCCAGCTTGAAGCTCGTCTCTTGTTGCAAAACTCATTTTAGAATTTATAGGGTAACGGCTAACGTTAACACTGACCGTGCAGTTGGGTTTAAAAGCCACGTGGATGATGACGTGGTTTAGAGTTGAGGTGTCACACTCCCATTGGTTAGACTCATCGTTGATTATCAGGTACGGACACAGCATATAATTTCTACGCCCCGAAGAGAATGCATTGGGTACGACCTTGTGAGGCCGGGATTAACGAGACTGGCAAGGATTTCGGGATCAAAACAAAGCTAGGGCTCAATTTGAAGGGAGGACAGGAATCGAGGTAAATAGACTTCTTTCTTCTTTATTTTTCTTCCGAATTTGGATCTGAGATTAAGGGTGGAGAAAGGGAAAGATCAGGAAAATTCGAGGGTTTGTCGTTTCTGTGAGAGTTTGGAAGGAGAAAGCGGCTTAGGAAACAGAGTAACGGAGGTAATCTTGAAGCTTTCTAGAATTGAGGGGTTAAACAAAGGGCCTGGGATTTTTTTTTTTTCTGAATTTGGAAAGCGAAGGAGGAAGATTTTGTTTTAAGAGAAGAGGCGAAAAGGAAAGATCAGAATCTGGGAACAGGGTTTCTGTTTTTGAGGTCCTTTAGGTAACAAGTTCTGTAACGGATTTTTGTTAGTGAGTTTTTTAATGTGAGTTGTATCGACAGTAGAAAATGAACGCATTTTCTAATTTGATCGCGGGATTGAAATGTACCTTTTGAGTGTGTTAAAATGAAAAGGAATTTATGCTTGCCTCAGTACATATTAGTTTGTGCTTTGGTTTCTCTTAATCTGATTTAACACCTTAATATCCTTTAGATGACTTTTCAATTTGTTTAGCTCTACGATGATATGTGAATGGCTTCTTGTTCTGTTTTCATAATGTTTGGGTTTACATCATAATGATATGGCTTTGAGTTAGATTCAAATCTGGAGCTTCATATCTTGGTTTATTGTGTACATGACTATTAATGGCTATGTTCATTGAGGAAGATATTTTATTATTTAAGAGCTGGTTTTGATCGGTAACCTGAGTTTCTTTTCTTTTGTTCTTGTATGGATGCATTGAGGAGAGGATGAATCTGAAATACACTTTCATTTCATTTCGAAATTAAAGTTAATGGTTCAATGATTATTTTTCCAAATCACACCGTTTTGTGTAACAACCTTTTGTTTGTGCATTATTGGGCCTCTTTGAATAAATGCCTATTGTTAATTAGATGAACTTATGTTCCATATGTAAAGGAGAGATCTTGGATTCTAGATCATTACCTATTCTTTTGGTATCAAATTGTAATGGAAGAAAGGTAACAATTTTCAGGTAGTCATTTTTGTAAAAGGCATGTTTTGAGTTTGGAGAGGTAACCAGGAAAGGTAACAATTTTCAGGTAGTCATTTTTGTAAAAGGCATGTTTTGAGTTTGGAGAGGTAACCAGCTTTAGTTGTTTGATTGTCCTTCATTTTCTTTTTTTTTTTAACAGTATAATACTAAAAAAAGAGATGCAACCAGTATATAAAAACTGTACACGTCTATCTAGTTCCAATATGAGTGTTTTACTCTTTGCAGTGTTATACCTTTCTAGTATTTTTGCTATGATATATCATTTGTTTGTTTTTCTATCCTTTGGATTGTCATGGAATGTTCTGTTCATATATTGGTTTCATGTGAGTCCTAGTATTGATGACATTTCATCTTCCTTGGTTACCTTTTAGTATGTTTAGGTTTAGAAAATCTTTGGTTATTACTTAAAAGCCCATACCACAAGATGGGAGCCATGAGAGAGTAGCACTTAGAAGAAGATTGGACCTGAAGCTCATTGTTTTTAATTTTCTATGCCCCTCTACTTTTATTCTATTTTACAGTGTATTTAATTCCTCCTTCCCCAATTTGGCATTTTTTAAAGTAATTTTCTCTTTTTTTATTAATTTAAGAATAACAGTAGCATTCACACAGGGGCAGTAGAGCTAGGACAAAAACATTGTTGCATGAGATCAGATTTTAAATTAGTGCACACCATCAGGAAACCTTCTTGTCCTGGTTGTTAACAAACTTGGGTCTCCAATTTGACCAGTGCCAATCAAGTGCGTCTGATCCTGTCCCCAGATAAGGTCAATGATGGTTCCAACTGTCAAGTATCATTTTTAATTTCTTTATCCTCTTATTTTTAATTTTCTATGCCCCTTTAATTTCATGGTTCCAAATGCGCGCATTATTTTTAATTTTGCTTTTTCCCATGACTTTTATCCTACTCTACTTTTTTTTTTTTAATTTTTGGTGTATTTACTTTCTCCCTTCCTGATTTGGCATTTTAAATAATTTTTTTTTTTTTTTCAGATTTATGAATAACAATAGCACTCACAGACAGGCACTACGTCTAGGACACAAAAAACTGTTGCGTGCAGATTAGATTTTAAATTAGTGCACTCCATTGGGACACTTCTCGTCCTGGTTTGTTAACAAACTTCTCGTCCTGGTTTGTTAACAAACCTAGATCTCCAATTTGACCAGTGCCAATCAAGTGCATCTGACTCTGTCCCCAAGTAAGGTAAGTGAAGGTTCCAACTGCAAGAATCATTATTTGGAGCACTCGCCATTGCACCGGTTACAAAATGTAGGAATATTGGTTTCATGTTTTCCAGTCTACTTGCTTTGTTCAGAAGCAAGTTTTGTTTATGACTGCTTTGGAGTTTATAGAAAGACTTCTGATGTTGCAAGACTTTGTTTATTATCAGTGTTTGGAACAGATTTCATCACATTTTATTAAAGAGTTAATCTATGATCTCAGTTATCTGATCAAATAGGTGTTCTTCTTTTTCTTTTTGTGTATTTCCAGGCTTCTGCAACTGGGTTTGGAAATTGTCTTCTAGGCATCAAAATGGGAAACTGTGTAGCTAGGGTAAGTAATTTCTCCCAGTAGCTGTCCAACTCTTCATGTGGCTGGGGGAAGGGGGTAGTTGTGTATCTGATGTTGGTTATATATTTATATATTTGTGTAATATGATATGCGTGATGTCCGTTCTGGGTTTGTTTGTCGTTTTCTCTTCTTATTGCGTTGGATTGAGCATGATTTACATCACATATGACTAATTATTTACAGATGGTGTTCATGATGCTTGTAGCCAAAATTTGAAGATGATTCTGAAGAACATGTAGAGCTTGCCGGTGGGAATGTACATCTAATCATGACAAAGGAGAGTTGGGATCAGAAGTTGTCAGAAGCGAGTGAGGCTGGGAAGATAGTAAGTGACTCATTATTATCTTTAGATACTGGTTTGCTGCTTTTTCATATAAATAAGCCTTTTTTTACAAACCAGGAATCTGATGGTCGGTTGTGAATCCTTTTTTTGTTTGCTCAATGGCTTTCTTTGTTTTTTTTTTTTGGTATTCTATTAGTTTGAAAATGATTGCAAGTGGTTTGGAACTCTTTCAGTTGCTAGGGATTTAGTTCCTTTTATGTCGGTTTATGCACCATATAATTTTGTTATATTTATCTTAACATTTTTTAATTGCTCCTTTTGTCGATTATGCTCTTTATATTTGAACTTTACTTGATATTTGTTTCTTGGATGATTTCATTGGGTTGTACTTCTTTTCTGTTTGCTCCTTGTGTGGGTTATGCTGTTTATAATTGGAATTTACAAGATATGTTGGTTCTACAGCTTTCTACATTTCTTCCCTGCTGTGGGTGTAATTTGCTGACTCTTTGATAAACTTCAGTTGGTGTAATCTAATGAGTGAAGGTGGATATTTGGCAGGTTCTGGCAAACTTTAGTGCAACATGGTGTGGTCCTTGTAGGATGATAGCACCTTTTTTCTCCGAGTTATCTGAGAAATACCTTTCTCTAATGTTTCTAGTGGTTGATGTTGACGAGTTAACTGTAAGTGTTATATACTTTAAGCTTTAGATCAATGGTTATGTCTCTTCATGGCATGTTCTAGTGTCGTGGATAGGGCTCTAAATGTTTTCTTGATTCAGATACGCTTGACAAACCGAAGTGAAGAACCAGAATATATCTCGTTTTTCTTTTTCCTTTCTGACTTATCTTGACCGATGGAGAGAAATAAAGATTTCCAAGAGTTCTCAGTAACTCAAAACTTTTTGAATAATACTCTGCATATCTTATCCACTACTCAGATGGCCTTTTATGGTGTAAAAAATATGAGCCAAGTAACTGGTATCTAGGGTCATAACAACCCCAAGAGAATTGCGGACCTAGCATGCAAATTCAACATAAAAAAAAAAACTGTCTCCCAACTACCACTGACAATAAGAAACTGTCAAGATATAGTAAAAAGGCGCAATAATAATTAAATAAAAAAATTAAAGTTAAACACTTGGATAGTAGTGACTGATCCTGCTGCTGTTTCTTTCCACGAGGGAACCTTCTATGAACTTTGCTAGTGAAAGGAATTATTCGACTCACCTAGACTGAAACTTATAATATCATTCATGCCCTCCAAAGAGCGTTCATTCTTAAGTGCAATGTGAAGTGTAGCAGATTGGTGAGTGATCAATCGTTTCTTAGGAAGCATGCATCTACAGACAACTCTTTCCAATAAATTAATGCCTCAAACTGTCCAGATCCAACATGGAACTAAAGCTACTAGGAGTAGGAACAGGAACACTCGATTGACAAAGCAGAAAAGTTGGAAAACAGGATCAACCATGGTTTTAGGTGGCAACCCCAAGCTAGGGATGATCATGGGGTCGATTTAGGATGAGTTTTCCTTTCTTTTGATCCTCTCTGCTGAAAACCATCCTTTACCTGGACTTGCCAGGTGGTTGATTCTTACTATCTGAAACCCATCCCGCCACTCCCTCCACTTGCTGTTTGGAGAAGTCATCAGCAAAAGAACAAAATAAGGAAGATGTGGGTCTTCCTAATCTCTATTGTTACCAGAAAGATGCATAAATGGTGAGTTGAAGACTAAAATTTTTAAAAGACTGAAAATGAATTTTGATTTTAAAAAACATTATTAATCTAAAATGCTGTTCATTCAAACATATTGCTTATATTATTATTTTGCTATTTACAGTATGAGATATAATAATTAATCTAAAAATGTAGTTCACATAGCAAGAAAAATGTAAATCTCAGTCAAATACATGAAAAATATATGAAAATCGGAATATGTATGAAAAATGAATTAAAAAAATTACGAACAAAATAATAATAAAAGATTGCCAATCAGTTCCCGGTGGTGAGTTCCTGTTGTGGTTTGTGTTCAAAAGATATATGTGGGTCCCAGGTGTATAGGCAGAGTTGGGTGAGATGATTTTGATAGTTTGCATAAGAGGATTAAGCACTTAGCTGATAGTGACTGATCATGATTGTTCTCTCCATGAATGAATATTCTAAGAAAGTTTTCCAGTTAAAGGAACTATTCAACCCAACTCTATTCATTGACATGGGTTGTGGATGAGTTCCATGAATGGTCTTACTCCCCACCTTACCACCAAAGATATCAGGACTACCAAAAGAGTGAAAAAAAATCCCTTGGCAGGGGTGAAATAGTTGTTTTGTAGAGGTGCTTTAGTATCTGTTCCTGCTAATTATTTCAAATAAAAAGGCTCGTATAATTGGCATACTTGCAGTAAATTTATATTTTGAGGTGTTCATGGTAGACAATGGTCTAAATTGACAAGCTTGTTGCTTCACAACGTGCAGGATTTCAGCTCTTCGTGGGATATTAAGGCAACTCCTACTTTCTTTTTCCTTAAAAATGGGCAACAAATTGACAAGCTTGTGGGAGCAAACAAGCCAGAGCTACAAAAGAAAATAATTGCTGTTGTAGAATCTGCTGAGCCTTCCCCATGTGATCTTTAGCACGATTCTGTCCTCTGTTAGTGATAAGGCCATTTTGATTTGTTTTCGTAGTTGCTGATGTGTGGCCTCTCTGTATATCCTGTCTACATGCATATCTGATGCAGAAACCTTGAACCTTCATCCCTTGGTAAATAGCTCATTGGTTGAAAGACTAGAGTGCTTGAATTTAAATTCCTGTTATCTGTAATTTGGGTATT